ATAGATAGAATACTTCCTAGAAAATAAAAAAAAATTTATAATAACCAGTCCCAACAGATGGTGGGAGAAGACAGTGGTGGAGGACTTGAGATAAGACTCAGGAGTCGGGGCCACCAAGAATTTATTGCATGATGTGGATGAAGCACTTCTACTTCCTTACATTAAATAAAACCCAAAACAATTCCATTTGTTATTGTTCAGAAAAATTCTGCAAAGATAACTCCAAAATTTTAAGAGTAATCATCTCTAAGTAGTAAGACTGGGTACAAGGAGCAAAACTGGAAACTTTTTCTTTCATGCCCTTTATTACTGTTCTCAGGGAGCTCCGCTGGCCTCCTGGGTGAGGAGCTGCACTGTGAACCCCAAGACAGGAAGTTTGGGAACGCCACATGCTCCAAGGCAGAAGGATGGGCAGTCTCCTCCCATGCACTTTACTGCCTCTGAAAACCCGCTAGAGGGTCAGCTAGGAGTCGGTTCTGACTCAATGGCACATAAAAATAGTTATTACTGTTCTAGTTTTTTGTTCATTTGTTTTAAATATTATTATTTTAAATATGGAAGAATTCATTTCAATTAAAACTCTGAAAGGGATGACTATGAAAATCACTCACTTATTCATCTACATGTTCGATGACAAATGACTAGATACTGCTGCACCAAGCACTGTGTTGGTCACAGGGAGACAAAGATGAATCAGACTTTGTCCCATGCCAGTGGGGAGACACACAATCCTCCCACTCAGTGTGATAAGATCCTGGACAGATGTCTGTATGGTGCCTATGATAACCTGCCTTCAAGCAAGCTGGCCCCAATTGATCCCTGACTTCTGGTATTCACACCCGTCACCCTGCACAAGGGTTAGTCTGTGACAGGATAGGACATGTGATGACAGCCAAGTGGCAAGGACTTCAGGCTCTGTACCAGAATTCCTGTGACCAGAGGGGAACCTTTGAAAAATTGTAAGCAGAAGGATGACACATTTAGGTTAAGGTAACTGACTGCAGTGTGGTCAAGCCAGGGATGGAGTAGGCTAGATCAGCAGCGGGGTCGGGGAGTGGGGGGTATGTTTCAGTTAGAGGCCAGTAATCCACAAAACTGGCAGAAACCACCCCCTCCCCTCATTATTTCTGCTCTAAAGCCAAGTGAGACAATATTCAGAGGGCTTAAGTGAAAGGCACAAGGCAAAGCCAATCAGATGTCAAAAACAATGATGTAGACTGAGAAGCACTTTTCCTCTGCCTCAAGGCTTCTTGTCTGAGACAGCGAATGGACCACAGAGCTGAGTGGACCACTGAGTGGATTTCCCAAGAGACCCCTTAGGGGAGAAAGTGGGTCCATCAACAGGGATGGTAACTCCATGGCTGGGTTTATTGACCCTGGGAATTACAGTTGGAGCGGCCCTCACAAAAAAATTCTAAACTCCACCACTGTGGAAACTGAGGCACAGAAAGACATGACCTCAAAGAAGCAGAGATAGCACACTAATTTAAAACTTTTACTCTTCTCACCAGACCACATTCATTTGTTCTAAAAACAGCAAAGCACATTGTGATTACTGTTATAAAGTGAATGCTGTGGCTGTTACGTGCTGTCAAATCAATTACGACTCACTGTGAGCCTATGAGCAACAGGTTGGAACTTGACCTTACCCTGCACCATCTCATCATCTCTGCCAGGCTGGAGCCCATTGTTACTCACAGTGCCAATCCTTCCTGTGCAGGGGTTTCCTCTCTTTCTCTGACCCTCCCCATCTTTCCCAGGATCATGTCTTTTTCTAAGGCTAACCTCACCGAACAGCAGGAACAAAGTATGTGAAGCAGCAATACACCATCCCCTTTTTAAAAGGAAAAGCATTCCTGCCCACCGCTGACCACGTGCTTCCCTCACCCTGGGTCTGTCTCCTCGCAGCCAGGCTCTGTGAGCTCGGGCTTGGAACGCTGTTCCTTCTTGCCCAGGCAGGAGTTAGAATCAGAGCTGCCGTGCCTCAGCCCGTCTCCTGCCTTCCACCCAGCTGTGATGACTATTCTGTACTCGGGCTTTTAGCCTTCAAGCTCAGGCCCAGCCCCTTCTCTAGTTGTAAAAACTCTCCTCAATCTAAGGAAAGCAACAGCCAAAGCCCTGTGAACTTCTCCTGTGGACAGAGGGGCATTTCTTGCCTTCAGGTGGGAGGAGGGACATGAAGGGGAGAGGAAAAGTCAGATTGCTCAGCGGACAGGGACTATAACAGGGACTACGGTACTATAGTGGGAGGCTGGGGCCACATCCTTCACTGCGCACACAGGGGTGACGACTGCTAGCCTCTGGAATGGACACACCCTTCTTCTGACATAGCCTGAGGAGCAATTAACTTTCTTTTTAGCCCTTCCCAGACTATATGCACACCCATGTTTATGGAGCCTTTGTTCACAATAGCAAAGAGTTGGAAACAACCCAAGTGTCCATCAACAAAAAAAGGAATAAGAGAAGCTGTGGTATATTCACACAATGGAATACTATGCTGCATTGAAAAACAAGGAACTCATGAAATATTATGAGTGAAATATAATGAGTGAAATATCTCAGTCACGAAAAGACAAAGATGGCATAATGCCATTGTTACAAAACAGGACTGACATGGGGGCTGGAGGAAAACTAAGAAATGAGGGGATAAATAATCTACATGGCACTGAAACAGACGAGGGAGAGAATCTATGATTAGGTATTACTGGCATGACAAGAGTCCAGAATAAGGGCTGCATAGGAAAGTGGTCTGGGATGGGAGTGGGGGTTTGTATAACAATGAAAGATTTTTTTTTCCCAAAGAAAAAAGTGGTGGGGGGCAGGGAGGAAAATGTGCAACAATGAATTATTGGAAACCCAAGTTCTTTAAAAACGTTCATTGAAATCTCAATTTGAAAAAAAAGAAGAAAAAAAGAGATGGTGCTGAGGGAACACATAAAGGTTGCATTGTGTTCCTGAGAAAAAGACATTTGGAAGTTCTAACCCCTGGTACCTATAAATGAGACTTTATTATTGTAGAGTCAGAACTGATTCCCAACTGACTCTCCAGTATTTTCTGGAGGAGACTGTCCATTTTTCTCTGAGAAGTCGCTGTTGGATTGAAATCCAACATCTTTGGGTTAACAATGCAACTCCCTACGGACTAGGCCACCAGAGCTCCTCTTCAGAAAGAGGGTCTTCGCAAATGTAGTCAAGTTCAAATGATGTCATCCTGGAATAGGTCTATCTCTAATCTAGCGGCTAGGGAATCTGAACAAAGACACGGAGCTAATAAGGTCATATGAAGACAGAGGAGAGAGTGAAGTTACAGGAACAAGAAGGATTGCCGGAAGCCACCAAAAGCTAGAAGAAGCAAAGATGTGGTCTTCTCAAGATCCTTTAATTTCAGGATTGTAGCTCCATAACTGTGACAGGATAAGCTTCCATTGTTTTAAGCTACTCAGTGTGTAGCATTTTGTTACAGCAGCCCTGAGAACAAATACGTCCACAAAAATCCATCTAAGCTATTTATCTTTACAATGACTCCATTTCCTCACAAACCCCCTCCCAGAACCCTCCAATCTCACTCACTCCCTCCTCCCTTCATATTCTCCCTTCACATTCTCCCTCCTCCCTTCACATTCTCCCTCCTCCCTTCACATTCTCCTCCATCAGGAGCTCCCATAAAGTGAGAGACAACATGCACTGACTCTGAGGCGCAGCTCTGCCTGGAGGAAGCAGGCCTCTCACCTCTGCCTTGTGCTGCAGGTGTGGTTTTCTACTTGCTGACCAGTATAACCCTTGATCCACATAGTAGCCTCCTCCCACTCCTACTTAGAGTTCCCCACTCCTACTTAAACAATTTTGAGCAAACATACTTGACTTGCCCCTTCTATACACCACCTAAGACACAACCTAATGCAGGTACACATAGTTATGTGCAGAGCATGCAAGTGACTTGGGATTCAGGGCTGATGGGGCTGACCCAGCTGGAATAGGTGAGAGGGCCTCTGCCTTCCCCGCCATCCCTTCCAGGCTGTAAACCCAGGTCCCCATTTTATATCCCCAGACTGATATACTTGTGCCTTAATGTCTGGTGCTAACATCAACGTTACCATTCAAAAGAATTCAAAACTACCAAATGGTTTTCTTGCAGCTACTCTTCCACTGCTTTTCAACTTTGCTCCTAAGTGTTCTTTTTTTTTTTCAGCTGGACTCTTGCCCGCTGAGGGAAAGGCTGTGTGGGTGGATGGGAAGGGCTGAGGATAAGCAAGGTTCCAGCCTCCACTCTGTTACACGCTCTGGGCCAAGTATTTCGTCGTCCTTCTGATCCTCGCTGCAGGAAAGAGATAACAATACCCCCGAAGCCGCATGGAGGAGGGGAGAAAGTTTGGGGTCAAACTCGGTGAAGTTCAATCCGGCTCACCCACCCACCGGTTCTGTCACCTTGAGCAAGTTACTTTATCTCTCTGAGCTTTGTTTATGCCCAGGTTGTAAGGGAGTAAGAGGTAAAACGGGCCCTGCAGGGTTGGGGGTGACCATGTGAGTTACACACATTTAAGTGCTCACCCAGATTACATGTCCCTCCGCCCCTGCAGGAGGAGAAAGATAAATCACCTGAAATGTGTTTTAAGCACAGAGTCCATATGTTACTGTAGTAACTCATATTTCAACACTGCATCACTTAATAATAAGTTCTTTTAATGGAGACATCCATTTCGCTCTGCCCCCCTCTCTCTCTCTCCTGCACCAGCTGGGCTGCGCTCGCATTCTTCCCTTTTGCCCCGGGACCCAGCCCTCGAGCTCCAGTTTACAAGGGCCTCCATCCAGCTTCCAGCCACTGTGTTCTCCTCCCTCCCCAGAGACGTGCCGCCCAGCCCGGCGGACTCCCCGCTGCCCAATCCCACCCTCCAGGGCTGAGGACCCAGAAGAGAGCCCGCCAGCGCTGCATCCCTCTGCCTTCAGTGAGGCTGGGACTTTGGCCCTGGTGTCTCCCAGGTCCCAGGGTTCTATGCACTCACCCTCTTGACCAGGAAGCCCTCTTTGAGCACACCGCCCTCGTTGTCCTCCATGCCTTCGCAGCTGCTCGTCCCCAGGCAGTCCTCCCCCGGTGGCCGTCCCCGCGCGCCGTCCCCAGGTGCGTCCCCGCGCCCGCCTCTGCGCCCCGCGCTCCGCGCCCAGGAAGCTGCCCCGACCGGCGACGCCTCCCTGGCGGGTGTCCAGAGCCCGCGGCCGCGGGGCCTCTGCGTCAGGAAGTTAGTCCAGGTTGGATTTTGTGACTCGGTTCTCCCCGCAGAGGTGCCCCAAGGCCAGCGGCTAGTCCTGCAGGTACAGAGTCCACTGCATCTTCAAGTCTGGGCCTCCCGAGAGCCTGCCCTGACCCGCTGGACAAGGATCCCCAACGAGTGGCCCAGGGGGCCCCCATCTGCGTACCCTCATCTTACCCTGAGTGCCTTATCAACAGGAGCTCTTTGCGCACCTGCCTGTGTCACCTTCAGAACGGGAGAGGCCAAGTGTTGCATGACCCCTGGAGGCCTTGACTAATATTCAGGGAAATGGATTCAATCCAGAGTGATGCTTCTTATGTCAGTAGGAGCATCTCCAGTGCGTTACCTAGTCCAATCTCTCCTGGGACTCGCTTATTTTTAATTGTAGTTAGTACAAAATTGTAAACCTTTAAAAGCACAGAGAAGCCCATGCGAAGTGACACTAGTGATGCAGGACGCTCCCAAGAAGACAATCAATAGCCATGACATCACAAGAAAAAGGTGAATCGCTTGATACACATAGTCGATATGTATCTTAGGTCTGTGTCTTGGATTGTTGCTCACTGCTTTAAAATAAATTAGTCTAGGTTCAAGATTTATTTTAAAAAAAGAAATTAAGTGCAACTGCAAGCTATTCCAGAAGGTAGAAAAGTATTGCATTTTTTAATTAAATTCTTGTTGTTAGGAGCCATTGAGTCAAAATGAACGCATAGCAGACTTTCCAGTAGGTTTTCAGAGGCTGTAAATTGCACAGGAGATTTCCTGTATTTGGTTGACAAGAGAAACTTTTTAAACCCCAGGCCACCCAAGGTCCCTAACTTTTATGGAAGTGCAGTCTATAGCACATACACCATACTGTGATGGTTAAGGTTGTACGTTGGTTGTTATCGTTGTTAGGTGCTGTCCAGTTGAGTACAACTCATAGCGCCCCTATAAACAGGTCTGAACCCTGTTTTATCCTGTGCCAATCTCACCACATGTGGCACTCTTGAGCTCATTGCTGCAGTCACCGTCAATGCATCTTGTTGAAGGTCTTCCTCTCTTTTGCTGACCGCCCCTTCCCCCACCGTTAAAAATATGATGTCCCTTGCCAAGGAATAGCCTCTTCTTAAAATATGCCCAAAGCATGAGAGATGAAGCTTCACCATCCTTGCCTCCTAAGTGCCATAGAATTGAGTGTGATCCACAGTGACCCTGTGTACAGTAAATCAAAATCCTTCCCAATCCCGTGCTGTTGCAGCCCAAGGATAAAGTATATTAATAATTAATAATATGACAAAACACCAAGAATGTATAAGTAAACAGAGCATAAAAGACAGGGGGCCCAGCAGTTAGAATCAACTGAAGTGCCACAAGCCAGGCCTCTCTGTGTATTTACTGAGAATTGGGGGAAACAAATCATAAAGAGAATTCTCCTGTAAATGAAGCTGAATTTTTCTCTATTGTCAACCTGATACTTAGTTCAGGAAGAAAGAGAAATTACAACTTATAAATTTGTGATTCCTTCAATTCCTGAATAAGCATATGGTTTTTCATATAATATTTGGTATGAAATTTGGCTTCCCATACTGTGCCATCCTCATACTCCCTGTTGTGCTTAAACTTGGTGTTTTAGTCATTGTCAACCAATCTCTCTAGTTGACAGTCTTCCCTTCTTGAACTGACCCTTTACTTTTCCAGGGACTGGTCCTTCCTCAGAACATGCCCAGAGTATATGAGATGATGCCTCACTAGCCTTGTTTCCAAAAAAGCACTTTTACTAGACTTCTAAGACAGATTTGTTTGTAATTTTGGCAGCCCTTGAATGATTCACTATACTTCGTAAACTCCACAATTCAAAAGCATCAGTTCTTTATTCTCCCTTACTTATTGTCCAACTTTCACATGTTTGTGAGGTGACTGACAATACCGTGGTTTGGGTTGCTGATGTTATTAGGTGTCATCGTGTTGTGTCGGAGACACGCTATCTTGTAAAGCAAGATTAGCCCTGTACTGTAAGACCAGCAAAACTAACTCCATCTTGGCTAGAACATCTGCTTGCCAATAAACAACTCAAGGAAGTGGAATGTTAAAAAATAAGAATGACCAAACGTCTTAAACCTTAAAGAATTCAGTGTCCTCATAAAACAAAACCATTTGTTCCTTAAAGCACACAATAAGGTATTCTGGACAACACCCTTGTATTGTGCTAAGGTTTGCAAATATTAATTATTGCCTAGATAGTTGACAACTTGAGAGAATGCAATTGTTACAGCAGAGGTACTTCTAAAAGCCTATATATATACTTTGTCTAGAGAATAAAGTTTTGCTATTCGCCATCAGCGGATAGTCTGCGTCTTCACTTCATTCTCAGCCCGTCTCTCGGTGGAACTGCTCAATATATCAGGGCTGGACCCCATTATGTTGATCAAGTGTCTGCACTGTTTGAATCCACCAGATGCTCTGCC